CCATCAAATGAAAGCTGCACTTTAACCTCATAGTCATTGTATCATTTAAAATTCCAAAGCGATGGAGTACAGAGCCAAAACAACCAAAACAATGTGTCACTGTCCCAATACTTTTGGAGCTCACTGTATAGTGCATTATGGGCCCTGGTCAAAGGTAGTGCACTGTATCGGGAACAGCAGGATGCCATTTGGAACACACATTTCACTTTAACATAGACATCTCTGTCCTCAGAAGTATGACCAGTAAGAAGATATTGCTGTGCATTAGGATTTCTTCTTTATGTGGTTGGACTTAGCCAATGGAATGATATGCCTCCAACACACGCCCCACATTTGGAATAATGCTGTAAGTACCTAGCAACAGCATCTGGTAAACAGTCAAACCACCGGGGTCAAATAAAATGGCACAATTTTGGGAACGGTATCATTGCTGTTTTGATCATTTCCTTTAAAAAACATAATTAGTTTCGAGTTCACAGTGGTTCACATTTGTAGTAGTACATTACACCTAAGGTGAAGCCATTATAGTTGCTGTGATTTATTGAATAAGGAAGGTTGATTTCTTCCTTCTTCCTGTCTTCAGGCCACAGCCACAACAGAGCTTTGTCATAACACCATTTACAGTGGCTTGCGAAAGTATTCACCCCCTTGGCATTTTTCCTATTTTGTTGTCTTACAACCTGGAATTACAATGGATTTTTTTGGGGGGGTTGTATCATTTGATTTACATAACATGCCTACCACTTTGAAGATGCAAAACAATTTTGGGGTGTGAAACAAATAAGAAATAAAACAAAACAAAACTGAAAACTTGAGCGTGCATAACTATTCACCCAAAGTCAATACTTTGTAGAGCCACCTTTTGCAGCAATTACAGCTGCAAGTCTCTTGGGGTATGTCTCTATAAGCTTGGCACATCTAGCCACTGGGATTTTTGCCCATTCTTCAAGGCAAAACTGCTCCAGCTCCTTCAAGTTGGATGGGTTCCGCTGGTGTACAGCAATCTTTAAGTCATACCACAGATTCTCAATTGGATTGAGGTCTGGGCTTTGACTAGGCCATTCCAAGACATTTAAATGTTTCCCCTTAAACCACTCGAGTGTTGCTTTAGCAGTATGCTCAGAGTCATTGTCCTGCTGGAAGGTGAACCTCCGTCCCAGTCTCAAATCTCTGGAAGACTGAAACAGGTTTCCCTCAAGAATTTCCCTGTATTTAGCGCCATCCATCATTCCTTCAATTCTGACCAGTTTCCCAGTCCTTGCCGATGAAAAACATCCCCACAGCATGATGCTGCCACCACCATGCTTCACTGTGGGGATGGTGTTCTCGGGGTCATGAGAGGTGTTGGGTTTGCGCCAGACATAGCATTTTCCTTAATGGCCAAAAAGCTCAATTTTAGTCTATTCTGACCAGAGTACCTTCTTCCATATGTTTGGGGAGTCTCCCACATGCCTTTTGGCGAACACCAAATGTGTTTGATAATTTTTTTCTTGAAGCAATGGCTTTTTTCTGGCCACTCTTCCGTAAAGCCCAGCTCTGTGGAGTGTACGGCTTAAAGTGGTCCTATGGACAGATACTCCAATCTCTGCTGTGGAGCTTTGCAGCTCCTTCAGGGTTATGTTTGGTCTCTTTGTTGCCTCTATGATTAATGCCCTCCTTGCCTGGTCCGTGAGTTTTGGTGGGCGGCCCTCTCTTGGCAGGTTTATTGTGGTGCCATATTCTTTCCAATTTCTAATAATGGATTTAATAGTGCTCCGTGGGATGTTCAAAGTTTCTGATATTTTTGTATAACCCAACCCTGATCTGTACTTCTCCACAACTTTGTCCCTGACCTGTTTGGATAGCTCCTTGGTCTTCATGGTGCCGCTTGCTTGGTGGTGCCCCTTGCTTAGAGGTGTTGCAGACTCTGGGGCCTTTCAGAACAGGTGTATATATACTGAGATCATGTGACAGATCATGTGACACTTAGATTGCACACAGGTGGACTTTATTTAACTAATTATGTGACTTCTGAAGGTAATTGGTTGCACCAGATCTTATTTAGGGGCTTCATAGCAAAGGGGGTGAATACATATGCACGCACCACTTTTCCGTAATTAGTTTTTTAGAATTTTTTTTACAAGTTATTTTTTTCATTTCACTTCACCAATTTGGATTATTTTGTGTACGTCCATTACATGAAATCCAAATAAAAATCCATTTAAATTACAGGTTGTAATGCAACAGAATAATAAAAACGCCAAGGGGGATGAATACTTTTGCAAGGCACTGCATGAAAACCCTTCCATAATATAGGCTACTACTGTCCTCTTCAATCACTCAATTTATAATCACAGTCAAAGGTTTAATACAATGTAAAATCTGAATAGTGCACACACACACACACATTTGTCAGAAATAAAATAGGCCTTTACTGCTAATGCAATTAATTGTCAGATAATCGATTATTCAAAATAACAATGATTTTTCTCCTGTGGCAGCAAGTTAATAATGAAAATAAAATAGCCTACAACAAAAACTAATTTAGCCATCTAGCAGCCTTGATTTTGGTTTGATTAGGAGTAGCATTGTCAACAATTCTGTTATATTAATACTGGGTTTTCCCGGCTTAAAAATAATAATTACTCAACATTTTGTTTAAACAAAAATATATCACCAGGAATATTTGTTTTTCCAATATAAATAAACATATCAATATTTGTTATTTAATCCAAATGAAAACATATCCCCAGCAACATACATCTTTTTTTGTATCCACAGTAGAAAATGTTAATTAATTACCAAGAGATCCTGTGTAATTGCTAAATTAAATCATGGAATTTCTGCATGAGGGTACTGTAAAATAAATCTCTCACAAATAACTTAAAAATCACCTCTTGCAAATATTAGTTTTCCCAAAAATTCATAGCGTAGCCCTAAATGACCAATATAACAAAGCCTGTATTTCTGATGAAATCAACCGTTCAATGAAAAGAAGGGATCTCCGGAGTGAGGTAGGCTACATCGATTGTGTAAGATGTTATAGCAAAGGCTTTGGTGACATGATGTGGTCACAAATGGCATTACATCATCCCCATTAGAAGTGGACTCGCGCACCGGTTGGTGTTGAGATGCTGCTACCATCCATCTCCTTCTTCCCTTTTTGCAGTAGACTTAGTCATCAGCATGTCCACAGGGACGATCAGTGCTTGAAGAGGACTGAAAACATTTCGGTGCCGAAACTCTGCAATATTTTATAAGAGATACAGGAACTCAAGTAGTAGAAGATGTGAGGTGCCGGAACTCCATTTTCCTTGTCTTTGTGATGTGGTTTGGAGCAACCATTTACTTTTTAATTCAAGAGACATGAAATACCAACGTGCCTTTGAAAAAGGATTGTGTTTATTTACAGTGTTTGTCTTGAATTACAATAAAAATGTTTGAATGAATTGAGTGAGTTGCCTCATCTTGGTGATTTCACTGGCAGACGAGGAGGAGGAGGACAGCTCGTATAAACATTAGGTTGGTGTGTCCCAAATGGCACCCTTCTCCCTTCATAATGGCACCCTTCTCCCTTCATAATGGCACCCTTCTCCCTTCATAATGGCACCCTTCTCCCTTCATAATGGCACCCTTCTCCCTTCATAATGGCACCCTTCTCCCTTCATAATGGCACCCTCTCCCCTTCATAATGGCACCCTTCTCCCTTCATAATGGCACCCTTCTCCCTTCATAATGGCACCCTTCTCCCTTCATAATGGCACCCTTCTCCCTTCATAATGGCACCCTTCTCCCTTCATAATGGCACCCTTCTCCCTTCACAATGGCACCCTTCTCCCTTCATAATGGCACCCTTCTCCCTTCATAATGGCACCCTTCTCCCTTCATAATGGCACCCATCTCCCTTCATAATGGCACCCTTCTCCCTTCATAATGGCACCCTTCTCCCTTCATAATGGCACCCTTCTCCCTTCATAATGGCACCCTTCTCCCTTCATAATGGCACCCTTCTCCCTTCATAATGGCACCCTTCTCCCTTCATAATGGCACCCTTCTCCCTTCATAATGGCACCCTTCTCCCTTCACAATGGCACCCATCTCCCTTTATAATGCACTACATTTGACCGCAGACTAACTCTGGATCAAAGCCCTACTTCAGGATGGATACCAGGTCCAACAGGTAGTGTGCACTGTAAAGGAAACAGGGTGCTATTTGGGACACATCGTTGGTTATCTGTGTTGTGTTACAGTGGAGCTGACCCTAACCCTCCCAGTGGCAGCTTTGGCAGACAGACAGAGGGAAGTCCTGGTGGGGGGGATGATCGCAGCAATATGGGCAGTTTTCTCCTCTCTTCCTTATCAGTGACTCTCTCCTTTCTTGCCCACAACCTACGTTGAATAGAAACACAGCCATGTAAACAGTGCAGGAATCCTCCTGGTCCCAAATGGAGTAGACTTCAACGGAAAACCTCCTATAGTGTACGCAGTAGCAGATAACATTCACCACAAATTATTGTCAGCATCAACTGAATATCAACAACCATATTGACATGTTTAGTGGAACAACTGCACATTGTCGATTTAATTTAAGATCGCCAACATTAGCCAGATTTTACTGCTGAAATCAATGTAATGTACCATTGGATGATATTGCTATGATTGTACCATTTACTGCTAGGCCTGATCTGACCAGGGAGGCCTGATCTGACCAGGGAGGCCTGATCTGACCAGAGAGGCCTGATCTGACCAGAGAGGCCTGATCTGACCAGGGAGGCCTGATCTGACCAGGGAGGCCTGATCTGACCAGAGAGGCCTGATCTGACCAGAGAGGCCTGATCTGACCAGGGAGGCCTGATCTGACCAGGGAGGCCTGATCTGACCAGGGAGGCCTGATCTGACCAGGGAGGCCTGATCTGACCAGGGAGGCCTGATCTGACCAGAGAGGTGCAGAATACAAAATCAACACAACAAACTCCATCAACATCATAGTCTCATAGCTGCTGGGGGAGGCCTGATCTTACCCGTTTGAAGTCGTTCATGTTTGTTGCCTGTACAGGGGTCCCGATAAAAGTAAGGTAATTTATTTTAGTTGTCTCCTCATCCCCTTGGTTGTTCTTCACAAACATCTGTTAGGACACATGGAAGAACCACAGATTCATCATTACAGGGGGACACAACCAGTAGAAACTAACGGTCAGTTTCCCGGACACAGTTTAAGCGTTGTCCTGGCATGCTCAATGGAGAATCTCCACCGAAAGAGCTTTCTAGTCTAGGACCATTGTCCGGGAAACTGCCCATAAAGGATATAATTCTTGCAGTCTTAGTTTGAACCTATGTTGCCAATCAAGCAACAAATTCCTGATTATTTTCTGTAAACATGCATTCTATATCACGGCTGTGTGTAGCCTAGTGGGCTGCGTGCGGTTGAGACCAAAAAAAAAACATGACTATTTTGTGCCACTAGATGGCTGTATTGTTCTACTTTAACATAACTAATTACACCTGGGCTGCATCTCAATAGTCTAAAGTGGTTTCCTCCTTCCTTCCTTCCTTCCTTCCTTCCTTCCTTCCTTCCTGCACCAAATATGATCTATTATATTGACAAGACATTGGACTGTCTGCTCTAACAATGGGAATAAAAGTCTGCAAAGGCAGAAGGCAGGCTGGAGGAGGCGGGATCAGGTGGGAGCATTCTAGCCAATGAGAGAGTAGATACGCATGTGAACAACAGGCACAACTCTGATATAAAATTGTTTTTTTCTCAAAAGTTGCCAGGATGCCACGTGCGTTTATCAGTAATTCATAACAACCTAAACATTACGAAACCTCTATTCGATCAAATAAGCCTCACTTAGCAATTACATTTTATGTTGACCAAATTTGACACTCATTGACCTCTATAAAGAAACTCCCCCCTTGGTCTCATTGACCTCCATACAGACCCAACCACTCCCCCCCCCCCTCCCTTGCTCTGCGGACCGATTTTGGGTCGGAGTCAGCCTTCTGGCGTCACCTCTTCCTCTGTCTGCAGTTCAGAACTGGACAATACTTTCTTCTCCAGTGTTAGAACAGGAACCAACTGAAGTACGTGCAGCGTTTCAATATCCTGTGACCTCAACAAAAGAGGGAAGGAGAGAACCAGGAAGTGAGGGGCCTGCAGGTGATTGGTTGGTGTTAAATGACTTACGGTGACACTCTGGACATTCTGGAATTTGACGTATCTCAGTGGAATCAGTCCGTCGTCCTTGAAGTCCTCCTCTGCCAGGTCCAGGGTCTGGGTGGCCTCACTCCGCTCAGCATCGTCAAAGTCCATGGAGCGAGGCAGGTTGATGAAGATCTTCACACACTTTGGTGCCTGGGCTGTAACAGGGAGAAAGGGAAGTAGGCAGAGGGGGGAAAGGAAGTAGGCAGAGGGGGGAAAGGAAGTAGGCAGAGGGGGAGAGGAAGTAGGCAGAGGGGAAAGGAAGTAGGCAGAGGGGAAAGGAAGTAGGCAGAGGGGAAAATGAAGTAGGCAGAGGGGAAAAGGAAGTAGGCAGAGGGGAAAGGAAGTAGGCAGAGGGGAAAGGAAGTAGGCAGAGGGGAAAGGAAGTAGGCAGAGGGGAAAGGAAGTAGGCAGAGGGGAAAGGAAGTAGGCAGAGGGGGGAAAGGAGGTATGTATAAGAAAACAAGGCAACCAAAGCAAGCAAGGGAACTCAACAACACAACAAATGATAAACCATGATCATTCCAATAAAGGCCAACATCTATTCCATGGGAAAAAGGGTCAAACTTAAAAGGTTTTCCTTTTCTAGTACATGTGCTTTTACTAGGAACTGAGCAACATTTAGGTGCAGCCAGGAAGAATAAGGACTCACCGAAGTCAGAGGACTGGAGCTTCATTGAGAACAGCTTGACAGGCTGGTTGAAGGCCATCGTAATGAGGAGCTGTAAGGGAGAAAATATGAGTCTCTCAGAGAGGGGTGTTATTACACATCTATGAGTCTCTCAGTAAGGGGTGTTATTATACATCTATGAGTCTCTTAGTGAGGGGTGTTATTACACATCTATGAGTCTCTCAGTGAGGGGTGTTATTATACATCTATGAGTCTCTCAGTGAGGGGTGTTATTATACATCTATGAGTCTCTCAGTGAGGGGTGTTATTATACATCTATGAGTCTCTCAGTGAGGGGTGTTATTATACATCTATGAGTCTCTTAGTGAGGGGTGTTATTATACATCTATGAGTTTCTCAGTGGGGGGTGTTATTATACATCTATGAGTCTCTTAGTGAGGGGTGTTATTATACATCTATGAGTCTCTTAGTGAGGGGTGTTATTATACATCTATGAGTCTCTTAGTGGGGGGTGTTATTATACATCTATGAGTCTCTTAGTGAGGGGTGTTATTATACATCTATGAGTCTCTTAGTGAGGGGTGTTATTATACATCTATGAGTCTCTCAGTGAGGGGTGTTATTATACATCTATGAGTCTCTTAGTGGGGGGTGTTATTATACATCTATGAGTCTCTTAGTGAGGTGTGTTATTATACATCTATGAGTCTCTTAGTGAGGGGTGTTATTATACATCTATGAGTCTCTCAGTGAGGGGTGTTATTATACATCTATGAGTCTCTTAGTGAGGGGTGTTATTATACATCTATGCGTCTCTTAGTGAAGGGTGTTATTATACATCTATGAGTCTCTTAGTGAGGGGTGTTATTATACATCTATGAGTCTCTTAGTGGGGGGTGTTATTATACATCTATGAGTCTCTTAGTGAGGGGTGTTATTATACATCTATGAGTCTCTCAGTGAAGGGTGTTATTATACATCTATGAGTCTCTTAGTGAGGGGTGTTATTATACATCTATGAGTCTCTTAGTGAGGGGTGTTATTATACATCTATGAGTCTCTCAGTGAGGGGTGTTATTATACATCTATGAGTCTCTTAGTGAGGGGTGTTATTATACATCTATGAGTCTCTTAGTGAAGGGTGTTATTATACATCTATGAGTCTCTTAGTGAGGGGTGTTATTATACATCTATGAGTCTCTTAGTGAAGGGTGTTATTATACATCTATGAGTCTCTCAGTGAGGGGTGTTATTATACATCTATGAGTCTCTCAGTGAGGGGTGTTATCATACATCTATGAGTCTCTTAGTGAGGGGTGTTATTATACATCTATGAGTCTCTCAGTGAGGGGTGTTATTATACATCTATGAGTCTCTCAGAGAGGGGTGTTATTATACATCTATGAGTCTCTCAGTGAGGGGTGTTATCATACATCTATGAGTCTCTTAGTGAGGGGTGATATCATACATCTATGAGTCTCTTAGTGAGGGGTGATATTATACATCTATGAGTCTCTTAGTGAGGGGTGATATCATACATCTATGAGTCTCTTAGTGAGGGGTGATATCATACATCTATGAGTCTCTTAGTGAGGGGTGTTATTATACATCTATGAGTCTCTTAGTGAGGGGTGATATCATACATCTATGAGTCTCTTAGTGAGGGGTGATATCATACATCTATGAGTTTCTTAGTGAGGGGTGTTATTATACATCTATGAGTCTCTTAGTGAGGGGTGTTATTATACATCTATGAGTCTCTCAGTGAGGGGTGTTATTATACATCTATGAGTCTCTCAGTGAGGGGTGTTATTATACATCTATGAGTCTCTCAGTGAGGGGTGTTATCATACATCTATACATTTACATTTACATTTTAGTCATTTAGCAGACGCTCTTAACCAGAGCGACTTACAGGAGCAATTAGGGTTAAGTGCCTTGCTCAAGGGCACATTAACGTCATTTAGCAGACGCTCTTAGCCAGAGCGACTCACAAATTGGTGCGTTCACCCTATAGCCAGTGGGATAACCACTTTACAATTTGGGGGGGGGGGGGGGGGGGGTTAGAAGGAATACTTTATCCTATCCCAGGTATTCCTTAAAGAGGTGGGGTTTCAAATGTCTCCGGAAGGTGGTGAGTGACTCCGCTGTCCTGGCGTCGTGAGGGAGCTTGTTCCACCATTGGGGTGCCAGAGCAGCGAACAGTTTTGACTGGGCTGAGCGGGAGCTGTGCTTCCGCAGAGGAAGGGGAGCCAGCAGGCCAGAGGTGGATGAACGCAATGTCCTCGTTTGGGTGTAGGGACTGATCAGAGCCTGAAGGTACAAAGGTGCCGTTCCCCTCACTGCTCCATAGGCAAGCACCATGGTCTTGTAGCGGATGCGAGCTTCAACTGGAAGCCAGTGGAGTGTGCGGAGGAGGGGGGTGACGTGAGAGAACTTGGGAAGGTTGAACACCAGACGGGCTGCGGCATTCTGGATGAGTTGTAGGGGTTTAATGGCACATCTATGAGTCTCTCAGTGAGGGGTGTTATTATACATCTATGAGTCTCTCAGTGAGGGGTGTTATTATACATCTATGAGTCTCTTAGTGAGGGGTGTTATCATACATCTATGAGTCTCTTAGTGAAGGGTGTTATCATACATCTATGAGTCTCTTAGTGAGGGGTGTTATCATACATCTATGAGTCTCTTAGTGAAGGGTGTTATTATACATCTATGAGTCTCTTAGTGAAGGGTGTTATTATACATCTATGAGTCTCTTAGTGAGGGGTGTTATCATACATCTATGAGTCTCTTAGTGAGGGGTGTTATCATACATCTATGAGTCTCTTAGTGAGGGGTGTTATCATACATCTATGAGTCTCTTAGTGAGGGGTGTTATCATACATCTATGAGTCTCTTAGTGAGGGGTGTTATCATACATCTATGAGTCTCTCAGTGAGGGGTGTTATTATACATCTATCTTTTCCACACTGACATCAATAGAAGGTAACATCCCGCAAATGAAGGAAAATGTGGCTGTGTTCCACTTGGGTCTCGTCAATTAATTCCAAAACCAAGGCAAACATTTTCAAATGGACATGGTGGGTACTTCCAGTAAACCTCACAACAGGTGACTGGACTGAAAACATTTCAGACCACTCTGACCAAAAAAGAAGAAGGAGCTAACATCCATCCATCCATCCATCCATCCATCCATCCATCCATCCATCCATCCATCCATCCATCCATCCATCCATCCTCAGACTCACCTGCTCGTCACAGTCAGACTCCAGGTAGGTGGTGTCCTTGACCAAGCAGTTGTCAAAACCGCTCTCGTCGCTCTCATTTAGGCACTCACAGCCAGCTTTGTTCACAAACGGCATCAGGTCCATCTGAACGCACAGACACAGTACAAATATATATATTTTTAAAAGGACACACACAAGGTGAACCCATGTTAAGTGCACATTACAAGCAAGCACAAAAAGCAGAAAGATTTTAATTCTTGTCAGAGGTTCTCGCACCTACTTGTGTATCATCACCCTAAATTTTGACACTGCTTTACAGAAATGTGAGCTGATGTAGAGGATGGTTAGCTTTGACTTATGCTAAACGTTGCTACTGCCTTCCGGAGGCCTGTCCTGGGATACTGTCAGCATTGACGGTGCATCTGGAGTATGCTATGTTACGGTGCAGAGGGGTTCTGAGTTCACGCCCTGTCTCGGGAAGACTAGGGAGGGGTTCTGAGTTCACGGCCCAGGTCAGGAGGCCAGGGAGGGGTTCTGAGTTCACATCCTGTCTGAGGAAGACAGGGAGGAGTTCTGAGTTCACGTCCTGTCTCGGGAAGACAGGGAGGGATTCTGAGTTCACGGCCCAGGTCGGGAGGCCAGGGAGGGGTTCTGAGATCACGTCCTGTCTCAGGAAGACAGGGAGGGGTTCTGAGTTCACGTCCTGTCTCGGGAAGACAGGGAGGGGTTCTGAGTTCACGTCCTGTCTCGGGAAGACAGGGAGGGGTTCTGAGTTCACGGCCCAGGTCGGGAGGCCAGGGAGGGGTTCTGAGTTCACGTCCTGTCTCAGGAAGACAGGGAGGGGTTCTGAGTTCACGTCCTGTCTCGGGAAGACAGGAGGGGTTCTGAGTTCACGTCCTGTCTCGGGAAGACAGGGAGGGATTCTGAGTTCACGGCCCAGGTCGGGAGGCCAGGGAGGGGTTCTGAGTTCACGTCCTGTCTCAGGAAGACAGGGAGGGGTTCTGAGTTCACGTCCTGTCTCGGGAAGACAGGGAGGGGTTCTGAGTTCACGTCCTGTCTCGGGAAGACAGGGAGGGATTCTGAGTTCACGGCCCAGGTCGGGAGGCCAGGGACAGAACTCAGAAGTATAACTAGCCTAGGGTGAGTTTCCCAAAAACATAAAGATCGGTAAGCTAGTTGGTAGGCAACTTAATTCTAAAGATTATCTTTACGTTTTGGGAAACTCACCCAAGTGATGCAGTTAATATTATACTCACATATCCCTTGGGAATGTCTGAGTCCTCGTTGCTTCCAGGGTCGTTTTCTACATGCTGCTTGATCTTCTCCTCTAGACCCGAGGCATCTGCACCCTGATACTGGTCAATGCGCACTTTGTTACGGAAAAACAAAAACGTTGGCGTTGCAGAGATGTTGTTGGCGGCAGCCGTTGCCTGAGAGGGAAGAGGGAAGATTGACATCGAAATCTTAGTCACATGCATAACCACACATACCAGACTTCTTCATCTGTATTGCTCAAATGAATGACATGAGAGGATGTTGACATGTCTGAGGCCATACATCACTTCTTGTTTACCAAGTATCCTACGACAACAACAACTTGAACAATGGAGTACCTGGTGTTTTGATTACGATACAGTAGGTTGTATTATTAAAGCTCGTAACACAAAAAGAACCTCACCTGACAGACGTGTACATCTACTTCAAGAAAAATTACATGTGGGTACTTGTTACTCAACATGTTGAAAGCAGGGGATATTCTGACACAGGGTCGACACCTGGGGAGCGAAGAGGAGTTTAATAGGAAGCTATTGTCAACTAACCCGGAAGTGTAGTTAATTGGCTAACGTTAGTTAGCTAGCTATTATCAATGGCTGTTATAAACAAAACAGGAATGCAAAAGTAAGCCTTACATATGCAGTAGCTAAAGCTAAAACAATAGTTAGTCAAGCATTCTTCTTCAGAGTTAGCTAGTTATCTAGATGGTTAGCTAGCTAACTCATGTTAGCAAACATAGCTGTTGTGTTCCCTTCACATGGAAGTGCATAGCTAGCTAGTAGATGCTTATTAAAACCACTAGCTAGATAGGTGGCTAGCTAGCTAACATTACTTATATGTACCACAAACTATATAGAACATATTTGACTGTATTGTTAGATAGCTAGTATCAGACTACTATGATGCTGTTAACAAGTAGTCTAGCTAGCTTAGCCTGTCTGATATTGCTAAGTCATAGCTGGCTAAGCTATCTAGCTAGCTAACAGCGTGGAGTGTCGTCAGAGTTAAATTACCGTTTGCTATTTTGTCACGCTTTTAAAAAGAGCTGTTTGAAAGTACTCAACAACTGATACACAGTTAAATCCGAAACAAATGTACCAACTAGCTAGCTATACATTCACAAATGAACGTGGATCACCCATTTCAGTTTAAGATCACCTCTAGCATGCTAGCCAGCTACATACCTAGTAAAGCCAGGCCTGGGAACAGATTTTGAACCTTACCCTGCCATCGTGAACTTCACTACGGCAAGCCTTGAGCCGGCGGCGGATAGCTCAGGTTGGAATTCTGAATCATTTCCGATTACCTTTACCCCGACCATTTTACAGAATACAGCTGCAAATGTGTATTTTATTTTATGACAGATTATATACAAAACAGTGTCACGGTTGTACACTGTCCAAACTCAACTCCACTCTCGGATCACACACTTTCCTTGAAGCTCCTTGACGAAATGTTGGACATTAACCAATGAAAACCAAGCAGGGCGTGCTCAACTCCACAGCTCAAACAAGTCAAGGAAATTTAATGAATGTATTATATTTCGATTAAACAAGTACTGATCCAAGGTCAGTTTTTACTTCACGTGAATCTATCGAAATCCAATTGTATTTGTCACATGCCCCGAATACAACGGGTGTAGACTTAACCGGGAAATGCTTGCTTACGAGCCCTTCCCAACGATGCAGAGTTAAACAATTAAAAATTAAAAATAGTAGCAGGAGGAATATGATACACAAAAATGGAGCTGTATACAGGGAGTACCAGTACCAGCTCAATGTGTGTTTGTGTTGTCGGTATGCGTGTGTGTTTTATGTGTGTGAGTATGTAGTGTATGTGAATGTGTGAGAGTGTCAGTGTAGTGTGTGAGTGTGTGTATATATTGTGTATATCACCAGGAGGCTGCTTAGGGGAGAACGGCTCATAATAGTGACCAGAACGGAGCAAATGGAATGGCATCAAACACCTGGAAACCATGTTTTATGTATTTGATACCATTCCACTGATTCCGCTCCAGTCATTACCACGAGCCCGTCCTCCCCAATTAGGGTGCCACCAACCTCCTGTTGTGTATATATAGTCTTGTGAGTGTGCATAGGGTCAGTGCAGATAGTCCGGGTAACCATTAATTAACTATTTAGCAGTCTTGTGGCTATTTATCAGTCTTATGGCTTGGTGGGGTAGAAGCTGTCTTGGAGCCTGTTGGTCCGAGAGCCGATGCTCCAGTACCGTTTGCCGGACGGTAGCAGAGTGAACAGTCTATGGCTTGGCTGGCTTGAGTCTTTGGCCAAATTTTCGGCCCTTTCTTTATATAATAATAATAATATGCCATTTAGCAGACACTTTTATCCAAAGCGACTTACAGTCATGCGTGCATACATTTTTGTGTATGGGTGGTCCCGGGGATCGAACCCACTACCTTGGCGTTACAAGCGCCGTGCTCTCTTTGTCACCGCCTGATATAGAGGTCCTGGATGGCAGGGAGCTCGGCCCCATGGATGTACTGGGCTGTCCGCACCACCCTCTTTATCGCTTTGCGGTCGAGGGACGAGGGCGGTGCATTTGCCATACCAAGCGGTAAAGCAGCCAGTCAAGATGCTCTCGATGATGCAGCTGTAAAACGTTTTGAGGATCTGAGGGCCCATTCGAAATCTTTTTATCCTCCTGAGCGGGTAGAGGTGCTGCCGTGCCCTCTTCACGACTCTGCGGGTGTGTGGACCATGTTAAGTCCTTAGTGATGTGGACGCCAACGAACTGGAAGCTCTTGACCCGCTCCACAAGAGCCCGTCGATGTCGATATGGATGGAGGCGTGCTCTCCCCTCTTTCTCCTGTAGTCCACGATCAGCTCCTTGGTCTTACTGACGTTGAGGGGGAGGTTGTTGTCCTGGTAACACACTGCTAAGTCTCTGACCTCCCTGTAGACTGTCTCATCGCTGTCGAAGATCAGGCCTACCACCGTCATGTCATCAGCAAACTTGATGATGGTGTTGGAGTCGTCGCGGAGAGCACAGGAGGAGACTAAGCACACACAGTTGATGGGCCCTCGTGTTGAGGGTCAGCGTGGCGGAGGTGTTGGCGTTGTTGCCTACCCTCACTACCTGGGGCCGTCCCATCAGGAAGTCCAGGATCCAGTTACAGAGGGAGGTGTTCAGTCCCAGGGTCCTTAGCTTAGTGATGAGCTTGGAGGGGACTATGGTGTTGAACGCTGAGCTGTAGTCTATGAACGGCATTCTCACATAGTTATTTCCCCTCTTGTCCAGGTGGGAGAGGGCAGGGATGAAATGCAATTGAGATCTTTGGATCTGTTTGGGCGGTATGGGAGTTGGAGTGGGTCCAGGGTGTCTAGGATGATGATGTGTGTGTCATAACCAGCCATTCAAAGCCCTTCATAATTACAGATGTGAGCGCTACAGGGTGATAGTCATTTATGCATGTTACCTTGGTGCTCTTGGGAACAGGGACAATGGTGGTCAGCTTGAAACATGTTGGGATGACAGACTGGGACAAGATTATTGAAAATGTCAGTGAAGACACTTGCCAGCTGGTCTGCGCATGCTTTGAGAACGCGCCCTGGTATTCTGCCGGCCTTACAAATGTTAACCTGTTTCATGGTTTTACTCACATCGGCCACAGAGAGAGAGAGATCTCACGGTCATCCGGAACAACAGGGGCTTTCACGCAAGACTCAGTGTTGTATTCCTCAAAGTGAGCATCCCAGTCTGTACTAGCGAAACAGTCTCGTAGCCTCGTGTCTGCTTTATTGGACCACTTCTTTATTGAGCGCGTCATTGGTAAATCCTGTGTGAGCTTTTGTTTGTAAACAAGAAGCAGGAAAATAGAGTCATGGTCAGAATTGCCGAAGGGAGGATGAGGGAGGACCTTATATACGTTTCTGTGGGTAGAATAAAAGTGGATTCGAGTTATAGCGCCCCCTAGTGGCGCAGGAGACGTGTTTGTAAAAGTGAGGTAGAACAGTTTTAAGTCTCCCTGCGTTAAAGTCTCAACCCACCAGAGACACTGCCTCTTGTTTGTTTATGGCCCCATACAGTTGACTTGTGGAGGGAAGTCCCCTGTAGCTCAGTTGGTAGAGCATGGCGCTTGCAACACCAGGGTTGTGGGTTTGTTTCTCACGGGGGGCCAGTATAAAAATGAATGCACTCACTAACTGTAAGTCGCTCTGGATAAGAGCATCTGCTAAATGACTAAAATGTCAAATGTATACAGCCGTGATGATTACAGATGAAAATTATCTTAGATAAAGGGGTCTGTACCTTACCATGAGGTATGCTATATCAGGTGAACAAAAACTAGAGATTTCCTTCACACTGGAAGCAGTGCACCAGTTGTTGTTTATGAAGATACTCACCCTTAACCCCTTTGGACTTGCCCGAGGCCGCCTTCGTCTGATCATGCCGTTGCCTGGAGAAACCACTGTGTCCTACGTACATAGAGTCATCCAAAGCATATCGTTTTGCAGAAAGGTGCTTTTTCTACTTGGGTGAGCTCTCTAGTAAAAAAAATTAAACATAATCTGGGGTAGTGATTACATATTTTCAAATTCATATTATGATTTTTATTTATTTTTTATCCGACACAGAAAGAGCTGGCTAAAAAACGATTTGCTACTGAACATTTGGATCGAATGTCCCTCATGACAGTCGACACAGCCGTTTTCTTCTTAGCCCAAAGGCCAGCAGATGGCGGTATTGAGTCGTTTCATTCTTCTCACAGCATAGCTAGCTAAATAACTTAGATATAAAGCTAAGCTGCTAAACACTTGGCATTGATAGCTGTCCAGATTAAAGTTTCAAAAATACTAATTTCACTGTTTTTTAACCATTCTTCTCGTAAACCTGAGAGAAATGGGTAAGTAGAAATAGAAAGCTTAGCATAGACCTTTCGAATGTTACTCGCTAGTTAGGGGGAGAAACAAGGGAGAAACAAAGCTGACCTTAGATGAGTTTTCTAGCAAGCTATCCTTTAAAAAAAAACATTGACTCCAAAGACTATGATGGTAAGTTCAAGTTATCTTTTGACTCTGGATTACCATCTAGCTACCTAGCTATGTATTTTGACCATCAAAGACCCTTACAGTACTAATATATCTGACACTTCAAGGTTATTGAACTTGACACTTCAAGGTTATGACAGGGTTAAACATTTTCCTTCTTGGTCACATAGCCCTTACACAGCCTGAAGGTGTGTTGGGTCATTGTCCTGTTGAAAAACAAATGATAGTCCCACTAAGCCCAAACCAGATGGGATGGCGTATCACTGCAGAATGCTGTGGTAGCCATGCTGGTTAAGTGTGCCTTGAATTCTAAATAAATCACAGACAGTGTCACTAGCAAAGCACCCCCACACCATAACACCTCCTCCTCCATGTTTTACGATGGGAACTACACATGTGGAGATCATCCGTTCACCCACACCGCGTCTGACAAAGACACGGCGGTTGGAACCAAAAATCTCCGGTTTGGACTCCAGACCAAAGGACACATCGGTCTCATGTCCATTGCTCGTGTTTCTTGGCCCAAGCAGGTCTCTTCTTCTTATTGGTGTCCTATAGTAGTGGTTTCTTTGCAGGAATTCGACCATGAAGGCCTGATAAACACAGTCCCCTCTGAACAGTTGATGTTGAGATGTGTCTGTTACTTGAACTCTGTGAAGCATTTATTTGGGCTGCAATTTCTGAGGCTGGTAACTCTAATGAACTTATTTACATTTACATTTACGTCATTTAGCAGACGCTCTTATCCAGAGCGACTTACAAATAGGTGCATTCACCTTATAGCCAGTGGGATCACCACTTTACAATGTTTTTTTTTTTTTGGGGGGGGGGGGTTGGGGTTTGGGTTGGGGTAAGGGGGGGGTAGAAGGATTACTTTATCCTATACCAGGTATTCCTTAAAGAGGTGCGGTTTCAAATGTCTCCGGAAGGTGGTGAGTGACTCCGCTGTCCTGGCGTCGTGAGGGAGCTTGTTCCACCATTGGGGTGCCAGAGCAGCGAACAGTTTTGACTGGGCTGAGCGGGAACTATGCTTCCGCAGAGGTAGGGGAGCCAGTAGGCCAGAGGTGGATGAACGCAATGCCCTCGTTTGGGTGTAGGGACTGATCAGAGCCTGAAGGTACGGAGGTGCCGTTCCCCTCACAGCTCCGTAGGCAAGCACCATGGTCTTGTAGCAGATGCGAGCTTCAACTGGAAGCCAGTACTCTGGGTCTTCATTTCCTGTGGCGGTCCTCATGAGAGCCAGTTTCATCATAGCGCTTGATGGTTTTTGCGACTGCACTTGAAGAAACTTTCAAAGTTCTTGAAATCTTCCGTATTGACTGACCTTCATGTCTTAAAGTAATGATGGACTGTCGTTTCTCTTTGCTTATTTGAGCTGTTCTTGCCATAATATAGACTTGATCTTTTACCAAATAGGGCTATCTTCTGTATACCCCCCCTACCTTGTCACAACACAACTGATTGGCTCAAACGCATTAAGAAGGAAAGACATTCCACAAATTAACTTTTAAGAAGGCACACCTGTTAATTGAAATGCATTCTAGGTGACTACCTCATGAAGCTGGTTGAGAGAATGCCAAGAGTGTGCAAAGCTGTCATCAAGGAAAGGCGTGGCTATTTGAAGAATCTCAAATATAAAATATATTTTGATTTGTTTAACACATGTTTTTGGTTACTACATGATTCCATAGGTGTTATTTCATAGTTTTGATGTCTTCACTATTATTCTACAATGTAAAAAATAGTCAAATTAAAGAAAAACCCTTGAATGAGTAGGTGTGTCCAACCTTTTTGACTGGTACTGTATATCAAAACAATATCTAAAGAAATCTACCGGTACACACACTATCTCACACACACACACACACACACACACACACACACACACACACACACACACACACACACACACACACACACACACACACACACACACACACACACACACACACACACACACCCCTAGAGTATATGAAGTATAAGCTAATCTAAATTCAATGGTGTCCACCAGGGCTCGCTTCTAGGTACCCTCCTCTTTTCTCCGTCATATCCTGGTCTCTCTTATCGTTGCTATGAGGACGACACTCAACTGCTCTTCTCCTTCCCCCTTCTGACACGCATCTCTGTGTGCCAGGCAGACATCTCAGCTTGGAAGGACTGCCCGCTCCAAGACCTCTCCATCACGGTTGACAACTCCGCGGCGTGACCCTGGATAACACCCTGTCGTTCTCTGCAAACGTCAAAGCAGTGACTCGCTCCTGCAGGTTCATGCTAAACAACACCCATAGAGTACAGCCTTTCCTCACACAGGAGGTGGCACAGGTCCTAATTCAGGCACTTGTCATCTCCCCGTCTAGACTAGTGCAACTCTCTGATGCCTGGGCTCCCTGCTTGTGCCATCAAACCCCTGCAACTTATCCAGAGTGCCGCAGCCCGCCTGGTGTTCAACCTTCCTAAGTTCTCCCATGTCAACCCGAGCACTCCGTTCCGCCACCTCTGGTCTCATGGCCCTCCCGCTTATACTGCATATACAGTAGGTGTGTGTGTGTGCGAGAGAGAGAGAGTGGATTTCTTTATATATTATTTATATATATATTGGTCCAGGCAATCTATATACAAAAAATTATTTACATCTGAGCATATTTAAGATCTGAGAAAGAGAGAAAACGTAAAATGACTCACTCTCCAGTCTCCATTGAATTGCATTGAATTTGCTTATAATGCATATACTCTAGGGGTGTGTGTGTGTGAGAGAGTGTGTGTGCATTTCTTTAGATATTGTTTATATATATATATATATATATACATACACTGAGTGTACAAAACATTAGGTACACCTTCCTAATTTTGAGTTGCACCCACTTTTGCCCTCAGAACATCCTCAGTTCGTCGGGGCATGAACTCTACAAGGTGTCGGAAGCGTTCCACAGGGATGCTGGGCCATGTTGACTCCAACGCTTCCCACAGTGATGCTGGCCCATGTTGACTCCAATGCTTCCCACTGTTGTATCAAATTGGCTAGATGTCCTTTGGGTGGTGGACCATTCTTAATACACACAGGAAACTGTTGAGCGTGGAAAAACCCAGCAGCGTTGCAGTTCTTGACACACTCAAACTGGTGCGCCTGGCACCTACTACCATACCCCATTCAAAGACACTAAAATCTTTTGTCTTGCCCATTCACCCTCTGAATGGCACACATACAAAACATTTATTCAGATTTGTCCATCAGTAGCTCAGAGAACAACCCTTACGAAAAAAGATTGCAGTCAGAGTGCGGTATAACTGCAGTACACTGCTGTATCACTGCAGTATGTTGCACATACTGGGTCCAAAAAAACACAGTTGACTGCAGTTACTGCACTTTTGTAAGGGAAGGGTACCAAATCACATGTTTTTATTTTCCGTTATGGACATGAATGGGTTAAAATGGATTCTGCAACAATATATGCATGATGCTAGCCTCGTCATCTCTAGCTCCAATCTGTCCAACACCTCTATGGTCCAACACCACGCCAGAGATGGTCGTTTCATCATTTCAGGGCGTGACTACAATGAATGACAGGAACTGTGAACCAATCCACGTTCAAGTTACTGCACACTGTAACCAATCAACGTTCACAATCTTTCCGGAAGTTTTATGCGCAGATAATCATACGCATGATCACACAAACCAATGACAGAATTGTTTCAGTATTCTTTTTAATATTTCCCTAGTAGTCCATTAAAATATACAGATTTGATACAATTTCTGCATGGATATGGCGGAGAAGGTCACGAAAACTTCAGGTAAAGTCAGTGTGTATGTAGATAACATGAGTTAGCCAATTCGTCTTATTAGCTAGCTAACGTTAGCTACAATGCTGAAATCATGTGTGATGTGTTGCATCAGACCGGTGTTGCTAGTTAGCTTACATACCCGTAGCACAAGCGTATCTTGACTGTCTAGCGAGCTAAAACAAGCTAGCTAAGCTTACTACGCATCGGTGTGAGCTCTGCGCTTTTGTTTGAGGGCGTTTTTAATTTATGTCATCCCTGTACCTAGCTGAGTTTCCAAACTCCACGATATGTACATAGCTCCAACCTTTGAGTGGGTGAAACAGGCTACATAGTGCGGTGTCAAATATGGGATTTATCATCATGAATGACCGTGAACACGTCAAACTAGGTTTAGATGAATTGACAGGCATGCAGAATCAAGTACACTTTTTTTTTCCAGGTGAAGTGTATGTATCTGACAAAGAGGGGGATGACCAGGATGGTGATGGAACAGAGCAGAAGCCTTTCAAGACCTCCTTGAGGGTAAGACGAATCAGTGTTGTCTGTCTGTTTCTTTTTCGTTATGACGCCATCCAACAGAACTGAGATGTCTACGCACCCTTGAATAAATCACGGTTAAGTGAATTGCTCTAACAACAGCTATGTGATTTCACAGGCGTTGACATTTGCTGGAAAAGAGCCATTCCCAATCATCTATGTGGACTCTCAGAAGGGTGGAGAGGTACATAGTTACAACAAGCAATGGAAAACGAAGTCAAAAAAACAAACCCAGCAAAATCTGAATATGTTTTCATTTGGTTTCACTTTCTTATTTGGTTTCCCCTATTCATCTAGCGTTGGGCAGTGATCTCCAAGACGCAGATGAAAAATGTGAAGAAGTTATTTGCTAAAGAGCAGATGAAGAGTGATTCCAAAGACAAAAAGGAGGTACGTGGGGAGGAGGAAATGGTTAGATGGTGTGTCCAAAATGGCACCCTATTCCCTGTATAGTGCACTACCTCTGGTCAAAAGTAAAGTGCACTATATAGGGAATAGGGTGCCATTTGGGGTGCTGCCATTATAATTATACACACTATTGTCTTCGGCCATAAACCGTGTACTCACTGCTCACAGGCAGCAGTAGCCTATGTAAGCGGCAATTTATCTTCCACTTTGATTTGAAGGCAGAGGATTCTGAGAGACGAGAGAAGAATCTGGAAGAAGCTAGAAAAATCACCATTGAGAATGACTCCAGCCTTCCAGAGCCTAAAACGGTCAGATCCACAATATTCTCTTTAGTCAGCATCCTGTCAGAAACTCCTCATCTTTGGAAATAAGTATATCATTTTTGTCTTCCATTGTGTTGAAATTGAATCAACCCGTTCCCAACAGGTTAAAATCTATCAGCTGGAGCCGCTCCGGGGGGAGAGAGTGAAGGTGTTTGGCTGGGTGCACCGAATGAGAAAACAAGGTGAGGATTTTAGAAAGACAAGTCCAGTATGAAGGAACTTAGAGATAGTTTTGCGAGCCAATGCTAACTAGCATTAGTTTTAGCGGTAGCTTAGCACAAAGACTGGAAGTCTCTGGGTACAGCTAGCATGCTTCCAGTTTTTTGCGCTAAGCTAGTTAACATTGGCTCGCAAAGCTACCTCTAACTTCCTTCATACTGGACACAGATACATAAAAATGGTTTCCACAAGTTTTGTCTGACTCTGTGGAAGTAGATAAAGGGCCATTGCCAAAATCCTGAACTATCCCTTTAATGTGTGTCTGACCCACCAGTTGTCTACGCTGTCATAGTCAGCATGCCACAACACCTTTAACTAGCTTAATAGTCCAAGGGCCACCACACCAAAAATGTGTTGTTCTGTGACCCAGAAAGCGGAACTGCACAATTTATTTAACACTATGTACATAATGTTATGAACATGAATACTGCGTGATTCAAAAGTTGCACATTTATTTAATCAAAAGCTATGATATTTAGCATCGAAATCACATTTCCCTAGCAACCTTGCTTATTTTTGTTGCACACTGGCAGAACTATTTGTGTGTTGGTGTTCGTCCTTGCATCAGCTCAAGCAACACATGTTACCTTCACTGACGAACCCCGAAACGAGGAAATAGTTTTTAACCATGTACAGTGGTTTTCTCAGTTAATATAAGACATTCTGGCAGCTGTATTTCAGTGGATGCTCCTCAGAGGAGGAAGGGGAGGACCATCCTCAGTGAATTTCATAAAGATAAAAATTGTAAAACATTTAAAATATATATTTTTTAGGTAAAACTCATTTACCAGCGCTGTGTACATGAATCCAAACACTCATTTGCACCAGTGGAGGCTCCTCAGAGGAGGAAGGGGAGGACCATCCTCCTCAGTGAATTGCATAGAAATAAAAATAGTAAAACATTGAAAAAGTTATTTTGAGATAAAACTATACTAAATCTATTCACGTCACCAAATCATTGATTAAAACACACTGTTTTGCAATAAAGGTCTACAGTAGCCTCAACAGCACTCTGTAGGGTAGCACCATGGTGTAGCCGGAGGACAGCTAGCTTCCGTCCTCTGACATTGACTTCAATACAAAACCTAGGAGGCTCATGGTTCTCACCTCCTTCCATAGACTTACACAGTAAGTCCTCCAACCTATCAGAGCTCTTGCAGCATGAACTGACATGTTGTCCACCCAATCAAAGGATCAGAGAATGAATTGAGTACTGAAAGCATAAGCTACAGCTAGCTAGCACTGCAGTGCATAAAATGTGGTGAGTAGTTGGCTCAAAGAGAGAGAAAGACAATAGTTGAACAGTTTTTAACAAATTAATTTCTTTCAAAAAGAAGGAGAATCGTTGGAGAGAGCGATTCTGTCATTTTAAAAAAACTTTCAGTTTCACTTCCTTAGCTAGCAAATGCAGCTAGCTAGTTTAGCTTACTCAAACACCCTGCTGAAACAGAGGGGATGCTATGTTAGCTAGTTGGCTATGACTATCCAACACAACACTAGAAATGTTCCAAGTCAAGGTAAGCTTTTGGTTTTACAAATGTATTGCCACCGGGGCCCGCTGGTGTAACTGCTAAACTGCTTACTGACTGTACACTAACGTTACTGCATGATTGTAGCGGGTTTACCAACGCGTTAGTTCTATTAGCTATGTTGACTATGACGTTACAGCAGAGTTTTCTTTTCAGCACCATGGAATTAATCCTTACCACTGATACACATGGCTATCAGCGGAGCCTTGTCTGGCAGCAAAACAGTTAATGTGGCGGAGAAGGTAACAAATGTGGTTTCTACTGACAATTGAGATGTACAAGCTATGGCATAAGGGGACGTTGAGCGGATAAGAGGCAATCCGTAATTTTGATTTAAGACATCAATGACGTATTACATCATTTATCCAGACATTTTTGGACTCACCTTGTGCTGTGCTCACTTGAACAGGAAGGTGGCTGTTATGTGAATTATTTAACAAACTATTTCAGTGTCTCTGTGTGTACCCAAAAGGTTGTAAGTCTTTTGGATTTAAGAAACGGACAGAGTCTCGGTCTGCATAGTCAGAGATTTTATTCATTGAGAATTCTGCACAACAGCTTCATAGTCGCGCTCAAATCCGTACCTAAAGCAACAGTTTCTTCCCTAATTGGGAGGCCTTATTTGGTTTCTATTGTCTGCAGTATCTCTTTCCTGGTTTCTGTCTACTCTTATGCGACATTTTGGACTCACGTTGTCTTTGTCCTTGACAAATGCTGTTACGAATTATTTACACAACTTTCAGTGTACTATTGTCATAATAAGTATTAAGTCCCCTTTTGGATTTAGAAAACACAATCCGTTTGCTATAGAGAGATTTATCCAATTGAATATCTGCGTCACATTAAAAATGAGTCCATCTTTTATACAGTCATACAAATCCTCCCTCTTTAGCGAGTGAGTCACTTTAACTCTCTCTAACCATCATACACACACACACTGAAACATACTAAACACCACATGCAATTCCTTATATCGCCGTCCTCACAATATCCTGCATACTCCTTAAAAAGCTAACAGTTCTCTCCTCCCTAAATTGGGAGGCCCTTTATCTTGGTTTCTCAGTTGTCTGTAGCCAGTTCTCCTTGTCCTTTGTTGTCTGGTCTAACTCTTACTCACATTGCTAAATAGTAGCTCAATGTCATAGTCTTTACTGGTCCTACACTCACACATTCTTACACATTTCACACAGTTTCAGGGTGTAATAATTAGTCATTAATAATTAATCTATCAATCCACCCTTTGACTAAATATTACACACATACTCACAGAATATATGTTGTTATAGAAATGAATCACACACATTGAAGCATATAAGTTGATTTGCATATAAAAACATTAAAAATTGTCTAATTCAATACAGGTTCATCAGGGTTACCCCATGATTAAAAGCGTAACGTTACTCTTTAGCAATGGTACCTAACCTGTTTACCCACTATCTGGAAACAATAGTCTAAGCCTATAGTGAAGAACATTTGCTTCATCACATCCTGCAACATCGGTTAACTAGTACATAATACTTAAAACAAGACTTTAATACACAAAATATCATTGCAATAACTTTTAAACTAGAAATGTATAGTTCTGGGTAAACATCCAGTCTCAAACTATCTGAATCGTCGCCGTCGTCCTCCACCAAGCCTGGTGGGTCATATTCTTCATTCCTTAGGTCGGAGTCCGGGATTGGGCCGTATCTCACCATCTGCTGTGATACTGCATTCTCCAACGCCTTGCTCACCAACCCTCGGACACAGGGAATAAGACAACATCCACAAAGAACAAGCATACCCATAGACGCGCCTAAAATAGTTACAACAGTAGTTTTCCATTTACCAAACATTTGATCAAACCAACCAGTCATTGATGTATTCACCCTCCAGTTCTCAGCCCATTCTTTAATTAATGCAGTGAGACCTGCCAGTGCTCTAGTTACTGTACCATCTGGGGCTGTATTGTTGGGGATAAACATACAACAATGACCTCCCACCATCTTGTAAATCCGCCCTTCTCTGCTAAAAGCATTTCGAGAACCAAACTATTCTGCAGGTCATGAGTGAGGTGGCGGATAGTTGGCCTGAGATTCTCTTCACTGCATCCCTTGTCTAATTAACAAACCTTTGTAGATGTAATTAATCCAGTCAACATTTTTATCAATTGTAACCCACCAGAAAAACGTTGTTGTAAACACTTCTCCAATTTGATCTGTGATTCGCATTACTTTGGTGTCTATAACATTGATAATCTCCGGGGTTCATGGTGAATTGGGGTGCCTTAATATTATCATTTTTAAGAGTGGTTATTTTAATATCAACTGTGGCATTCTGTAAGGTCTTCCAAACACTTTTCCAAAGGGGGATAACCCATCTTTATCTGGGGTTACTCTAAATTTCTTCCCTTCACTCCGTGATAACTCTATAAAATCAATTTCCAATTGCTGGAAGGGGTACTTAGCCGGAGGATACTCACCCTGAGGTGCCCTTTGTCTGCCCTGGTGATTATTTTGAGCACAGTTAACACATCTTGAACAAAAGTTTTTTTATTTTTTGTAAAATAATTAGTAATCCCAGATGCAACAAAGTGTTGTCTAATCTGCTCTACCATCCATCCATCCCTCCCGTTGACACATGGCTCTGCCCGTGTGCCAATATTGCAGCATATCTAAACAGTAATTTCGGGAGAATTGGTAAGCAATCTTTGACCCATATTCCTTCCTTATTTACTGCGCCTTGCTTCACCCATCTGTGAACTTCCTTAATTGGGGCCCTACTGTAGATTTCTATCTATCGAAACTTCCTCTTTTGACAGCTGACTGGGACCAGAGAAGTGTTTTAACCCTGCTGACAACATTTGATAATACCTCAACTTACTTCTATCCCGTAAAAGTAATCCAAGATTAGTACAATTGACTAGCAATAGGTATCCCTCATTCAGGGAAAGCTCTCTCTCTCTTCTGTTATTTTATGGTTCAAATCATATTATTACCAAATTATAAAGTTCTTCACACTTTTCACAGTACTATAAATTACCCTCAACTTGGTAAAATAAACTATAAATCATTCAATGAACTGTTCCATCCCATAGTATACTAAACATTACCATGATTCTAAATATTTCATAAATGTTACTTATCCCAAGTGTTCATTAAGTCCTCATGACATTTATTCTCATAAGAAATCATATATACCCTAAACTCAGTCAAAACAGAAAAACTCCATAAAATGCACTGTGTGTGCTCCTTTAAGACTTATCACCTTTGACCTGTTGAAAACCCCCTAAAATCAAAATAACAAGGCTTTATAAACATCATACTAGGTGTGTTGTTTTTTATTTGAGAACCCCAATTAAAAAAACAACAAACCAAAATAGCCAGGTCATGAGGGACTCCTTATTTCTCTCTTC